TCGGTCTTCCCAATCCGCTGCTTCCATTGGGGGTTCCACACCCCGTCTCCCTTCCTAAATCTTTGCTCTCATTGTGGCTTCCACATCATCACCACAACAACCACACATTTCTTCTTACAACTTCAGGCAAACACATAAGAAGAAGACACCCCTTGATATTTAGCAATCAAGACAACACACCTGTGGTAGAAATTTAAAACAAAATAGTATCCTCAATGTACTTCAGCAAAATATTCAGTACGTACATAACAAGGTTGAACAGTTTAAGAAACTTGAAGAAACTTGTGTACATGTATGAGCCATTACTGAACATGGGTCTAAAATGTAATGAGATTAGTTCAATTAACTTCTCTAACTATAAACTTCATGCATGTTTCTGTAGAGAATTTGACAAAAGTGGCGGTGTTGCAATAATAGCCCAGAATAATTTAATTTGCATATCAGTAGACTATAGAGATATGATTACGATTAGAGATATGAACATTGAAATGACTATTGAAGTAGCAAGTGTCGATGTAAAGGCAATGAAAGGGAACAAAAATCATAGACATTTATAGATCCCCAAATTCGAGCGTTAATGACTTTCTACTCAGGTTGGAAGAACTTTTAACTAAACTTATAGGACACAACAATTGTAAGTTAATTATTTTGAGAGATCTGAACATTAATATTGAACATAATGAACTACACGATTTACTAAAGAGCTTCAATCTTCATGATTATTTGATTTTTATTATTATTATTATATAATTTTAAAAATCATAATTATTTGATTCAACTCTTTTTCTTTATCAAACTACGCAAATCAAATTTTGTTAACAAATAATCATTGTCGGTATCTCTCGGCAGATAAAACCAATACATTCTAATTTAAGGTATGTAGTATTTCTGTGTTGACAAGATTCAAGCATGGCTTTTATTCTTTCCAAAGGAGGAGACAAGATCCAATAGTGTCACATTTTAGGAAGGGAGTAATAAATTCAGGATTAATTTTTGGTGAGACTTCACTGGAAATATTTCCAAAAGTTTAATTTAATAAGGAAGAAATACTTATTAAAATACCATAATTGTGAGGCAAACAATAGAAATTAATAAAATTTAAAGAGAGCTGAGTTTTAGAATCCTTACAATCGATAGAGCCTACAAAACAAAAACTTAATTAAAAGAAACATACAAATAATATATTTTTTGTAAAAAGCAATATAATTATTTAAAAAATTACTATTTGATAATACTAATCATCTTCAAACTGTATTTGTAAAAATATTAGGTATTAAAATAATCAAATATTCCAGAAAAACCTGAATTTTTATACTATTGTTTGAAGATAATCAAAGAAAACTCAGAAATAAAGTATTTATGTTGTAATTCTTGTGAAGGCTTTCCCATTCTTCATGCATCACCTTTTCATTCATCCCTTCATGGTCTTTCAGTCATTAATGTTCATTTATTCATTCATTCATGGTTTTTCAGTCATTCTTTCATTCATCATTCATTCATTCATTCATGGTCTTTTTCAATTATTCATTTGCTGTCTTTGTCACAAATTCATTCATTCATTGTCTTTCAGTCATTCCTGGCTATCCTGGTTGTTAGCATACAAGGCAAGAATCTGGGCCAGATACCCTCCCTGTTCCCTCAGTTGTATTTGTGGCATGGGGTACATTCCCAGTACCTCCAGTATTCTAATCCCTTTTCCTGACCAACAAATGTCTGAGTGATCTGTCTGTGTTCTTTTTGTCAGCATGAATGAGTAACTGGCTCCCTACCCATATGAACGGCACAAACATGGAGATGGGACCATGGGGTATATTGGGCACGAGTGTAAAGGTTTGAGATGAACCAAAGTGCTACCTCAGTTTGATGTTCGAGGAGCTCAAGGGGGACTTCTCTCTGGGAAGAGTTCCTAGAGAAGCAGAAGTGAGCACAGGAGTTCTTAATAGCTTACTCAGGCAATGGAAGATTGCAACTGGGATCCAGGTTACCCCCATTCAATGTGTGTCTTTACATCACCAATGTATCTTGAATTTTCTCAAATGCTGCATTTTTTGTTGGAGAGGTTATGGTCATTATTCTAAGTCATCCTGAAATGTTGTTATAAATATTATTTTAATAACACTAAAATTTTCTTTAAAATCACTAATTTTTTTGAAAATTGTGAAAATTCAAATTTTTCCAGCATTGTCTGACACCTGCTATAGGAAAGGTAGAGCTTTTTTTCGTTAATGAAATCTATTTTCTAAAGACATATTGTGAAATGAGATTGCATACAATTTCTCGAAAATATAATTATTTTTCATGTAATTCTCTATGAAACATAAGCTGTTAAAATATTTTTTTAGCATTTATTTTTCTCAAAAACATATCCAATATTATTCTCCAAATTTTTTCCACATATGTATCAAAAGTTAAAAACTAATGCTAGTGTCATTTCAGGTGAACTCTGGATTGTCAAAATTTTACCAATTTAAAACTATAAAATTGAAGATAAGGATTTTTGTTTTAAGCAAAATATGTTCTAAAATATCAGTTAAATAAGGTCAAGTACAATGTTTTGAAAGAAGGAGTAATTTTTATGACATTTATGCAATTTATAAAAAAACATTTTCTCAGAAAACAGTCCAAATTTTTCAAATTTATGTCTTGGATAAAACCTGGAATGCTTTAAAAATTAGTGCAGGTCTAATTCTTGTGGAACTCTCTGTATTTTTTAAATTTTAAAAGAATGCAAGAAAGTATGTGCTGCATTACCACCACTTTTTTTTAAATTTGACATCCTGATGATAATGTTCACTTGCATTCGTGTGTTCCTACTCTCGTACACATTTAGTTTTTATACAGGATCACAAACTTAACACTGTTCGAAGAATTGATTTTATTTTGTTGGGCAATATAAGGTCTTCATGGTCAGTAGAACTTATAATACATCACCATTCAGAGTATTTAGGACTAAGACAATTAATGTTACAGTTTAACATAAATTTAACATCACAAACATACTGATCTCCACAAAATAATAGCCCACTAATTAAAAACAAAAGTTTTGAGTAAATATGTTTGTCTATAGGTCTGGCTGGTGGGGCAGATGCAGCTTACATTTATGAAGAGAAATTCAACATAAAGGACCTTCAGAAAGATGTTTATCATATGGCAGCGAAAATGGCAGAAGGAGTGCAAAGAGGCTTAATTTTGAGGTAGTAAGTGAATAAATTTCAGGAAAAAAGTGTATTCATTGCTTATGAATGGAAATTATCCTGATTTTATGTGTGCACATTTTGTTTATTTCTTCTGGTATATATTTTTCCAGTGTATTTAATATATTTCCACAATATTTCAATAATATTGTATTTATTTTTATTTAAAACAAAGGGAAATAAACATTTATGTAAGCACTGGTGCAACAGGGGTTGGGGTAGGATGTGTGCTGATGAGGATCAGTCCCCCAGAATCCCCCAGTGAAACACATTTACAAATGATTTATAATACCAAAAGTTATTCACTCTTTCAGTTATATACCTATTAAATAACTACAAAGATTCCCATAAAGGAAGTCTCTTAACAGAGGTTGCTCAACCATTCCAATGGGAATGTTGCAAACTTACTGCATCTTTGTCAGAGTCTGACATGACATTTTTGAACCATCCCAGCATTCGCCTTACGACCAAGTAAAACCACAAAAATCCCGTCAGGATAGCTGGCCTGAAGATGTAATGCGAATCTCCTGATTGTGAAGTCAGTGTGCTACGCACTGAGCCCCTTACTCAGATATAATCATGATGAAATATTCAATTAAAAACTACACAAAAAACACTTGTAACAGTATAATAATTATTACATTAGTGTAAAGTAGAGGTACTATTTGTTAAATATTATTTAAGTAATAAAGTTATGAATTAGAATTGTTAATTGATTTTTATATTGTTTACAGAAACGAAAAATGTAATGAGAACTACACCACAGACTTCATTTATCGCTTGTTCTCAGAAGAAGGCAAAGGTTTATTTAGTGCTCGTAGTAATATATTGGGTAAGTGAATGGCAAAAGTAAACTAAATATCATCATTCAGAGTTATGATGATGGTTACTAGCATGCTGTTTGCAGGTCATATGCAGCAGGGTGGCAGTCCAACACCTTTTGACAGAAATCTGGGAACAAAACTAGCAGCAGCTGCTGTAGAGTGGACATCAGAACAGTTACATCAATCCTTGAAAGATGGAAAAGTTTATACAAATGACCCAGAATCAGTGGTTGTAATTGGCATGATAAGACGTCAGTACTGCTTTTCATCTATTAAAGATCTGAAAGAAAATACTGACTTCGAGTGAGTATAGAACTCTGTTATTCACGGTATAAAAACAATTTCTTACTTTCCTTGGAGACCGAAATGTAGTTGAATGGTTTTACATTTTCAAAAATTTGAAAATGTTCTAATTTTTCATGAGGATCTAATGAATAAATCTAATGAAAATATAATGATTAAGATAATCATAATCGTAAGAGTGCTTCATTGGTCTCTTTTGCTTGTTTCTCTTATTTTATGGTTTCTCTTTTGTTCTGTGCTGTGATAACTTGGGGATCTTTCACCTTTGTGAAAATCAAAGGTAGTTTCAGAAGTTTAATCAAAAAACTTTCAATTGGGCTATAATCTTAGTAATAATTGTCAAAGTTGTTGAGCTGTTACCAAAACCGTGATCTGTTTTTCCAAAACTGATTTTCATATTTTTTATAATTAGAGAGATGCAGAAGAATGTTGATAATCCGGATTAATTGTAATTGGACCACTTCCAAATTATAAAATAATAAACCACCAAGCGCTCAATATCCACTCAGGGTTACGAGACGTATTGCGTCATTACAAAGACTCCCCCCTCCCCTTTCCTCAAGTTGGTAGATATCTTCTTCAAGATAAATATAAATTTGCTCAAATCGTTCTTAATTCTCTCTGATGGTTACTGAAGTGCAGAGAAAAAATAAAACTATTAGTAGTGAGGGAGTTGGTTACTGTATTTGTGAGCTTCTCTTTTCAAGGGATTGGAAATAGGACTTACTAAGAGTGGAATTTTTTAATAATCCTTTTCTAATAAAATTTTTGTTTTGTAGGCACCGCCTCCCTAAGCATCAATGGTGGTTGAAATTGCGACCTTTGTTGCGTATTTTGGCAAAGCATGATTCAACATATGAAGAAGAGGGCATGTATGTTTCTGTTGAAGAAGCTGAAGTTAGTGAAGGATTTTGAGTATGAACCTTATACTATATTCTTAGAAATGTTAATCCAGATAGATGTACCTCAATACTAGAGACAATAATATGGAAGGGCAATATTACCATTCTTGAAAACAAGCAGAGGTGATAACATTAGGTTTCAAATCCTTTTCAAAATTTTTTGCTCCTGAGATATTCTCAATTTGTTATTCTGTCATTCAAAGAGCACTGCCTGTGGCTTCTTTTTACAAATAACTATGTAGTTTTTTATAGTTTATTTTAATGTATTAGTTGATATTGTTATTCAATTTTATTGTTATGGTCATTTAATATGTGATGACTTTTTAATGTATTTTGGCTAAAGATTGGCCAGAATGTTACCTAATTTTATAGAAATAATGTGAATATATTTTGCTATTATCTTGAAAGAATTAACAGTAGTTCCTTTGCATTGTGATGTATATTGTGTGTAAAATATCTTGAACTTTTTCGTCAATAAGTGTTTCTGTAAGGTAGTGTAACTATTTATTTTTTCAATTATATTACTATATAAAATGCTATTATTGTAACTTTTGCTCTTGAATAAAAAAATTAAAGGATGCCCATCTTTCAAAAAAGTGAGGAGGAAATGAAGCAGTATGCTTGCTTCAATGTTTTTATTACAAATTAATTTACATTTTTAAGATACATTTTCTTGGAATGTATTTATTTATTTATAAGAATTCCTAGAAAGATATCAAAAACAAGATGGTCAGTTTATGCTGTTGGTCAAGAATGAATATTGCAAGATCTGTGTACTCTGTAATATTCTTGAGATATTAATAAGGAGATGCAATTATAAATTAGTTAGCAAATGATAGTAGTTTATGATCTATATATTTTTTTGAATTAATTTATTAATGTGAAAATAATCTACTAATTTTGTGTCTGTTTTTGACATTCCCGTTTACCAGAGTAATCAGTACTGGTACACAGACATTTTTTGAACGTTTTATGCTTTGTCAATTAAATATTCTCTTTATTGTGAAAAGGATAATTGATCTGTGTGTTTCATATCATCAAGATATACAGATTAAAATAATTGTGTTCATTGAAATGTGTTCAACCACTTTATTTTTGAGAAGAAAAATGTTTTTTTTATTACGGTTGATGTGCTCAATTAGAAATATTTGATTATTTATCTGAAGATATATTGTTGGTACACAAAAAAGTAATGCTTCTCAAAAACCATCATTTTTTAGTTGAATGAAATATTTTTGGAAAATAACACATTTTTTTATAGTAAAATTTTCGTTCACAAGACAAATGGTATATAGAGAAGAACTCACTATGTTAGGCCACAGAGTTGATGACCCCCACATAAAACCAGTGCAAACACAAAGACAATTTTTTGAATGCGTCACGTTTCTTGTCCATTGACAATATTTTGTTGAGTATGAAATATGGAAGCTATTTTCTCAACAGATTTTAATCCATTGTTTTTTGAAACAGAGATCCATGCAAGTCAATTTTATTTAGGGAGAAACTTGTTGGGAGCTTTATGGCATATGACAAGGCTTGCGGAAAGTTACACAAATTTTTAAATTTAAATAATTTTTAAAACATTTGAAAATAAGCCTGGGTATTGCAGTGATTTCGGTGGGTTGCCCGATGTTTGGAAATGCCAATGAACTTTCATGTATGTAATTGTAATATTTCTCAGAAAAAAAAAATCATTTTCGTTATAACCGGATTAGAATGCCCGGTTGCCGGTATAATAGAGGTTGGCTACCGTGGCAGATGCACCTCTAGCGGTGTGATTAGAAACTACAATTGTTTATTGACGCCACTGCACGCGCGTAGAGTTACTATTGTATGAGTGTGTGGTTAATTTAATAAGTGCCTCGATGTTTCAGAAATATCGCGTCAAGTGTAGAATTTGTGGTCGTGTTGGGAAGCGATTTGTTTGTGTATTTGAGGGCACAGAAAAAAAAACGTGTGAATTAATTTTTAATTGTCTCGGGCTTGAAGTTAGTGTAAAACAGTATAGTATTAGTAATTTGTTGTGATCTGTATGCTGTGTGTAGTTACATTCATTATGTATACTTTGCTTTAATTAGTTTGTATTTGAGCACGAAATATATTGGTTTTCTCAGTGTTATATTATTTTTCTTTTTTACCTGTCACATCCTATGTTCCTATGAGTGAATGCACTTTCTTCTGTACGTTTGGACCTGTTCTGTTTTTTTGTCTGCTTACCGTAGTTCTGTGCTACTGCAATGCATTTTTGTTATTGACTTGTGTTGTCGTCTTTGTGAAATAAGCCGATCTGCATGTCACCGACAAACGGTGAGCACGACATTGTTTCTAGATAAGACGAGGCGACGGTTTACCCGACAGAGTGTGCGATGGGTGTATGAAGCAAGTGTATTTGTGGAAGGAATTCCGGGCAAAATGTATGCAAACTCAAAAGAAACTTCTGCGCGAGAAGGAGAAACAGGTGGGCACAGAAGCTGGCTCGATTCTGGGAGGAAACATTCGAAAATCAAAAAAGTTACCGCTTGGTGATGCATCCCATACTGATAGTGGTGCAACTGCTCCCTCATTTGTTACCGCCAACGTGAAAGAGCGGCATGGTGTCAAGATTCGAAAGGTGCCGGTGACGGCTGTCAAGAGGCAACTGGCATCAAAGAAGAGTCGGTCCATAATTGTCAAGAATAATGTTACAGCTCCGACGCCACCTCATGTTGTAACTGGTGGTGGAGAACAAGAAGAAAGTGGTAAGATAATGTAGTTTTTTTATGATCATTGTAGTTGTGTAAAACATACTTTCACGAGATATATCTGGCCCTTTAAATACATGCTTAGGATCAAATTAAACGTACGTGTTAGAAGGTATAGTTTCTGGGTATAGTATGAAGCTTGATAAAGTCGCCGCTTAAATATTAATTTACGGGAAGTAACGTACTACCGTCCAGTAATAGCGAAGACATTTTGTTAAGTTTCTTTGATGTGCCTTAAAAACGTAGTGGAAGGCAAGTTTTATTTTTTAAACACATTTTTCGTGAAAAATGTTATCTTTGTGGACTACAGAAATCTTGTTGTGAAACAAGTGTTGAACTTCCCATTGTACCTTGTTACAGTGAAATTACATAAAGTCATGTAACCTTTTGGAATGTAGCAGTCATGATGTTATTTTTGCATTGCTGGTTTTCTATTCCTGTTCTCTTATGATTTGTTGCTGTTAGTAATTCTAAATAAATAAGTGATTTTCAAGAATAAAATAAATAAAACTATTTATATTTCTGCAGACATTTGAAAGTAAATAAGAAATATTTAAGAAATAAAATAATGTTTAAGAATCTTAAAATTTTTTTTGCAAAAAACATTTGGCTCTTGAAACACTGTTGGTGTACAAACTTTCACAGACGTAATTCATGATTTGGTTTACTTTTAAAATCTTAATTTGTACTGATGATCCTTAAGATGGCCGTAATTTTTGCTAATTATTAAACAGATTTTGGTGAACATGAAAAGAATCTTCTGTGGTAGTCAATTTATTACTTTGCTTCAAACTGTTTGTTTGGTAATTGTTATTTTCCCTACTCGTATTTCACATGATATCTTGAGTGCTCTTTATACTTCATGTGTGAGTAATTGGTTTTCAAATTTCTAACATACTAATCTAATTCACATCTTTTTGAAGACTACTTTGTAAATGGAATATGTTAAGATGGAAATGTTACATTAAATATGGAAAATGATTATTTTTAGGCATTGGAACCTGGCTTCACACATTGAGACTAGATGCTCTTGTCAGCTTGTCATTTAATAGTAATTTGCCATTCCTGTACTGTGTATCATTTATACAAATTAAACATTTCTAATTCTACTTATGAAGAGAGTTTGAGATATATAATTATTAACATTTTTGATAATGAAATAATTTAAAATATATTAAATATGTATTAACAGTGGAAACCCAAAATGGTCAATCTGACCAACAAATCCCTTTCTGTATATTATTTTAATTTTGTGTTTAATAGATGAAATTCACATTATTTAATGACTTCATAAAATCAACATATCATTCATCATCAGCAGCATGGAATAGGCTGATCTAGCCTGTTCCAGCAAAGTTGTCTAGAGAAGACCGCGTCATCTTTGGTCTTCCTTCTTGTCTTTTTCCTTTTGGGGATAGTAATAGGCCTTCTTGGGCAATGTCTCATTGTTCATTCTTTGTAAATGCTCTATCCAGTTTTTTCTACACGTATTTATCCTTTTTTGTAAGCTAGTAATTCCTAATTCTTCTCTTATATCCTCATTTCTGATATGGTCCATTAATTTGCAGCCCTTAACATTCCTCAGGAATCACATTTCATCTGCATTCATTCTCCAGTTTTCCCTACATGTTGTTACCCATGTTTCACATTCGCATTGGAGTAGGTATGGCCATTGTTTTATAAAGCTTGAGTTTGATTTCTTTTTGTGCTTTCTTTCCCAGTGTTCTTGTGATAGTGCTGCGAAATTTTGATATTTTTTGTTGCACATCAATGTTATTAAAGTATGTTACATTGCATCCTAAAGTTGGAAGTTGGATACTTATTCGATAGTGACGTTGTTTATTTCCATTTTTGGACATATTGGATATTTACCTCTGAAAGCCATAGCCTTGCTTTTACAGATTGATATTGTGCAATTGCCCTCTTTGTAATATAAATGTTAACATCTGGAGGTCATTTTCACAATTAGTAAGCAATATTATTTCATCTGCAAACAAGATTGTGTTGATTATTTCCTGTTGAGATGCCTTCATTGTGTAAATCATTCTTCCATTCTGACAGGAGTGCATCGATATACACTGGGTGAGTCACGTAACTTTTTAACACCTCCTGTAATTTTTGATCGGTTGAAGTTATTGCAATGCAGTGTTCACAGGAATGCATGAGGGAATGGCGCTATTTGATGCAAGCACTTGTATTTTACGAGATCTTGAGGAAAATATTCTGTTTTCAAATGGAACTTCACATATTTGTAGCTTATCATGACGAACGGTAAAAGACAAATCCTATGGTATACTAGTAGTTTATGGAATTAGTTTATCATGCTAAGGCTAAATGCAACGAAAAATACTCGTAGGAAAAATCAATAGATCGCAGTATATAGAGGATCACAGGGGAATTTACTGATAACGTCTGAACCAATGGTCCGATTTTCGATCTGTAAACGGCATTTGACGACTTTTTAAAATAGAATTTACGCTACGAAGCCCTTTTTCCAAAAAAAGGAGCAAAAACGCGAATTTGAAATTAGTTCTCGAACTTCCAAGAAAAATTAAAAAAAGTGGGCTTATAGCGCGATGGCGACACATCCTGAATCCAACGCCGTGACAGACATGCAAATCGGACGAATAGGAGCGTCGTAAAGTGAAATTTAGGAAAACACCTCGCCCCCCCTCTCCCTTCCGTGCCGTTGTGTCTCCCGCCCGATTGTTGTGGGCCCTCTGTCGGCGTGGCGGCCAGGCCAGGCGGCGTGCGGCCAGCCGCGGCGGAGGCGGGACTTGCGGGATACACAAGCCAGACAGACGGTTTATGCTTTCGTTATTTGCATCTCAATCTATTTTTCCACAGATATCAAACTAGAGATGCTATCTACTATTACAGATCGAAGTAAACGGTCTGTAATAGTAGTACATAACTATCTTTTTCACATATTTCCGTCTTCCTTCGAATACCGTCTTAAAATTGTTTGAGGCATTACTCAAAATATCGATTCCGACTTGGAACTAGTT